ATTTATGAGAGTATATTTTGACATAATCCCTACGTACAGCTACTTGCTTTTGATTTTTATGAGTGGGCTAAAGTTTTTCTGAGAACACACCTTAAACATTAGAGAATGCCCTGGAGTTGATGTGGGTATGTTTTTTGTTTACTCTGAGCATGCGCATAATAATCACACGTCGCACAATTGCGCGGGAATTTGGCGGCAATTATCGAAAATTCTTGTAAAAGCGCATCACGCACGTTCGTCCCGTCGCGCGGCGGAGATCTAATATCGTCACGAGCGAGCCAGTGTGTCCAAGAAACGGAGAGAGGCAAGATGTGGATCCAGGTGAGGACGATGGACGGGCGGAAGAGCGCTCGCGTGGACAGCCTGAGCAAGCTGACCACCATCGAGGAGCTGCGGGAGAGGCTGGTGGGGGAGTTCGGGGCCGAACCCGAGCGACAGCGGCTCTTCTACAGAGGGAAACAGGTGAGCTGGCAGGAGAGGGTGCCGGCTCTTAGAGAGCCGTGGGAGAAACTTTGTCTTTCCTGCGGCTTCATGAGCGGAGCCCTACTTGCTGCACCCAACACACGTGGTGGTCGGGAAATAAGACACACCTTCGCTTATCAGATGTCTCCCGAATAAGAAAACTTTAGCTGATAAGAAAACCTTCAGCAGTGATTGTGTATCTGGGGTTCACCTCTGTTTCCCAAACCCCCCTCACCCAACTCCGTCTCTTCCATCCAGCTTGAAGATGGTCACTCGCTATTTGACTATGATGTCGGACTCAATGACATCATCCAGTTGATTATACGTCCACCTCCCCTCCCCTCCACCTCTCCCCACTCAACCTGCGATAACGGAGGTGCCTCTGGAGATATGGACACTGTGAGTGCCAAGTTTTACCACCGGTTGTAAAACTGTTTGTCAAACCAGTCAGACTGGTTTTGCTGGTTTCCTGTGTCCCTTGGTTACTAGGGATGGAAATATTTGGGGGAATAGGAACTAAACGTTTTGCCAGGAGACGCCACACATTAAAATCCCAATGCCAAACTACTTATCACTGTATTATGAACTACTAGTGACATTAGTGCATGCCCTTGCTGTGTATAAAGGTGTTGTATTCAGTGGGTGTCTGTTGTAGGGAGAGAATGGTGCCAGCAATGGTGGTGATGATGTTGGACTGGAGACCATCGAGAATGGAGCCAACAGCAGTGGAATGGAGAACGGGGGAATGGAGAATGGAGGAGTGGAGAACGGGGGAATTGAGAATGGAACTGGGTCACATGACCAGGAGAACGGCGATACCACCGAAGGCCTGTACAGAGTAAGTTCATTAGTGAAGGAGCCACACCTAATGATGATGGGACGACTGTTGTCAGGTTGGCGAGAAGGTCGATGCTAGGGACTGCAATATGGGGGCGTGGTTTGAGGCCCAGGTTGTCAAGGTGATGGCAAAGCAGCTCCCCGCCCAGTCTACGGGGGAGGAGACTTCATCTACCGCCGGAGAGATTGGCTCACAACTCTGCTACCACGTCCTCTTTGACGAGTGAGTGAGACCAACATCTCTCTGATACTGTCTGATTTCAAATATGTGTGTTAGTATTGCCACTCTCTCCTCAGTTACAAGGAAGATGAGCCGGTGCAACTGATGGCAGCTCACGTGCGGCCCCGCGCCAGGTACCGCTACCAGTGGAGCCAGGTGAGGGATTACATCATCGTCCTCATTCACTTTGTATGGCCCCCAATACTCAATGATGTCATTCTCAGCTGAGTGTGGGACAGGTCGTCATGGTGAACTATAATTTCGACTCTCCTAAGGAGAGAGGGTTTTGGTACGATGGTGCCATCACCAAGAAGGTAAGCTATTCTCTCGGCAAGATTGATTACCAGTATTCTTGCAATTCTGTAGGTGAATGAGGGACGACAGTTGTTCTGCAAGCTGATATTGGGGTGAGGACCACTGCTAGTATTTACCGTCTTACCAGTTTTTTTTCACCGATAAGATAGTACCACATTTTTTTGTACAAATAAATTTCTTTTCTTGAATGACCAGTTACTCTTACAGCGTGTTTACATTTCAGGACCCTGTGAAAAAATCACGAAATTGTAGAAAATAAAGTGACTAAAATTTCTCCCAGGGAGAAGTTGGACGAGTCGTCAGAGGAGGTGAAGATCAAATTTGTTGACGAAATCTTCAGAACTGAATGTAGAGAGACATCTCTAACGAACGGGGACACCCCCGATGAACAAGGTGAGTTGAGCCATACTCCCATACCTCTGTTCCCCCATTCTTCTATGGCCCTATATATACCTCCGTTCTTCATACATTCATTCCCCGATACTCCATTCACCAGTGATCCTATATCTACAGACGGCGAGGGGGTGGCGCGTAAGAAGAAGCCAGACTGCGAACACTGTCGAGACAACGCCCGCCGCAAGTGCAGGTTCTGTGCCTGCAGTGTGTGCGGAGGGAAGGACCAGCCGGGGAGCCAGATCCTGTGTGATGACTGCGACCAGGCCTTCCACATCTGGTGCCTCTCGCCTCCTCTCGGGCAGGTCCCCGAGGAAGACGAGTGGTGAGTCTGTTTGTTCAGGAGAGGGAGAGGGAAGCAATTGTGGGTAGTTGAAATATCCAGGGCTACAATCTCTGCTACGTTCTAATTGTCTACACACTGGAATGGGTATTTCTAAGGCTTCTCTTCCTTGACTTACTCTGTGTGTGTGTGTTGGATTCAGGTATTGTCCAGACTGCAAGACGGATGCAGGGGAGGTCATTCAAGCCGGGGAGAAAATGAGGCTCACGAAGAAGAAGGCCAACATGCAGAGCAAGAAGAGCAGCTGCCAGAGGGACTGGGGGAAGGTGCACCATTGCCCATATACTCAGTACTCCTCATTAGCCACTGATGTCTCCTTTACCCTCTATTGCTAGCGTGTTTCCACTTGTTGAGCTGAGTGGTTACCCACTCATCTGTTAAGCCTCCTCTCTCATTCTAGTATGTTGTGGGCATTGCTGTTTTTGCTCTGTACTTGCGTCAGCGATATAATATGTTAGCCATGTCACCCTTGTGTAAGTACATTTGTATTCAGACTCCTGACCTACTCTCCCCTCCTGTTGGCTGCAGGGGATGGCGTGTGTGGGGAGAACCAAGCAGTGTACCATTGTCCCCTCCAACCACTTTGGACCCATCCCCGGGTGCCCGTCGGGACCATGTGGAAGTTCAGAGTTCAAGTGAGCGAACTGAAACCTCTGAATAAGAGACACTTTGGGGACATCGAAAGTGTCCTTTATTCAGAGGTCTCCTTATTTGGGGGTAGTGTAATACACTAGTATGGGGCAGAACAAATTTTCTTATAGAGAGGTGTCCTTTATTCGGAAGGTCCTTTTCAAAGGTTTTGCTGTATTTGTCTTCTTCTTTACACTCTCGCTATGACGACAATTGAACCTTGACCCCGTTACCCCAGGTGAGTGAGAGTGGGGTACACCGACCCCACGTGGCGGGGATCCACGGGAGGGAGAGCGAGGGAGCTTACTCCATCGTCCTCTCGGGGGGTTACGATGACGACAGAGATGAGGGGGCGGCGTTTACCTACTCCGGGAGTGGAGGTCGCGACCTCTCCGGGAACAAGAGGACAGCTAAACAGTCGTACGACCAGAAACTAACTCACATGAACAGGTATATATACTACATGTACGGTGGACACTCGATAGCCAATGGTGGTGGTTTTTAAAGTATGTGTTCTTTGTAAAATTTTGGCAGTCAAATTTTATGTTGCCCAACTATATACCTTTCAGATCGTGCAGCTAGTTTTTGCCATAGTCACATAGGATATGCAGATTAGTGCATTATAGCAGCTACGTATGTGTAATGTTGACTTTCTTTGTGTAGGGCACTGGCCAGGAACTGCTGTGCTGCCATTGATGACAAGAAGGGAGCCACTGCCAAACAGTGGAAGGAGGGAAAGCCAGTCAGAGTGGTGAGCTCACCTGACCTGTCATGTGACAGTCACATGACTGGTTCCCATGGTGATGTATGTACGGCAGGTGAGGAACCACAAGGGAAGGAAGACCTCAGATTATGCTCCAGAGGAAGGCAACAGATACGATGGCATCTACAAAGTGAGCCTCCAACATTCTCCTCTCTCTTTGTAGATAGATTTTTATTTTTTCTTCTGCTAGGTGGTAAAATATTGGCCTGAGAAGAATACGTCTGGTTTTATTGTCTGGAAATATCTGCTTCGTCGAGATGACACAGTACATAAAACACTACTGTATCAAAATGTTTCCATTAGTCTTATGTATATACCTGAAAATACATTGTATCTGTGAAGCTACCAACACTGCAAAGTTTGTGAACATTTATAGCTTTACCCTATTTGCTATGTCTCCCCCCAGTCTCCAGCGCCGTGGACCAGTGAGGGGAAGAAGATGGCCAAGAAGCTGGGACTGGCCATGCAGTACCCCGAGGGTTACCTGGAGTCCCAGCAGAAGACCAGCTCCTGCGAGGATGAGGAGGAGGAGGGAGCTGTCAAGAAGGTGAAGAGAGGGAGGAAGAGAAAGAGCTCTGTTGGTGAGTTGAGAGACCAGCAGAAGAGAGGGTTCTGTGAGAAATTATAAACCTGCTGAATCATGCTGACCCTGTTTCCTGCATCCAGGTGGAGAGGGTAAAGGAGATTCTCCAGGGCGGTCAAAACAGCCTCGCTACCAGCTGGGGAAGGATCAGCGGGGAGCCATCAAGGCCGACTCCAACAACAAGAAGATGTGGGACGACTTACTGGGAACCATTAGAACTGTTAGTCACCTTTTCTTAACCCTCGTTCTATCCTCCCCTTATTTTTAACCCTATTCTCTTCTCACTGGTCTGCAGGCAGGGTTCTTGTCTCGAGTGCAGGATGCCTTCAGTTGTATTGTATGTCAAGAGCTGGTCTACCAACCAATCACTACATCCTGTGCTCACAACATTTGCAAGGTGACAACAGAGCACGTCGGTGTGTTTCACAGACATTCATTTTACTACCAAGTCAAACCGATTTATAAGACCACACAATCTCCTGGTTTTAGTTATAATCAACTCCCCATCTCTATACACTGATATTACTAGCTGTGGGTGTGCATTATTCGGTCTCGCCCCTGCAGTCCTGTCTAGGTCGCTCATTCAAAGCTGGAGTCTACAACTGCCCCAACTGTCGCCACGCTCTGGGGAAGGACTACTCCATGGAACCCAACACCGACCTCCAAGAAGCTCTTCTCCGGCTGTTCCCAGGCTACCAGGGAGGGAGGGCGTAACTCCAATTAGTGCCCCACCTACCTTACCTCAATTAGTGCCCACCACCGTCTCCTCCCCCTGTGACATGTTTGGCTGACACTATTATACATTCCAGACTCTACCTTTTATGTATATATATATATACTACAGTGCTGTATGTGTTGAACTGTCCTTATTACCTCTTGGTGCACATTTTATAACACGAGAATATACAGCAAAAATAAGCTGGTTTATCCCCAAAATAAAGGGTAACAACACCATGCTTGTAGATCCTTGCAAACGTATATATGATGGTGACTAATAGCATCACCTATTGTGCATAACGAAATTTTCACATAAAACACTTCAAGTGCATCATCTGTCGTGCTGTGATAGGTAGTTGTTGATGTCCAGAATGGTCCAGGAGAAAGGGTAGTCGATGTCGCCACTCCATTCCACAGTGGAACAGAATCTCCACATGTGGTAACAGTCTCTGAACTGGTTGGAGCCCTCCACCAACTCCCCACTACGATCCAACACGCCAAACTTCTCTTTGGTCTTGAAACTAACCCCCAGTTGAAACTCCATGTGCGTGCTGGCCGCCTCCACCGCCAGTTCCCTCCCTGATTGAAATGTGAATTTTGCGTCTATTTCATCCATGGCTCGCAGCTCACTCCTACTAGCAATCACCCGCTGACCCAGCCAGTCAAAGATGTGCTCATCGCCGGGTTCCGTGGCCCCTAATACTGAGTTAACAGAGCTCAATTGGAGCTGACGTATTGACTCCACGTCCAGGTGCATGCGGGCACCTTCAGGGAATTGGTCTAGGGAATATCTCACACGCTCGAACAACCGCGGGTGAAGAATGGTTTGAAGCGAGTTCTGTTTATCAGGGGAAGAGACGACAGCGGCCAGGGAGAAAACGGCCTCTCTCACGCCTTCCATGAACTCTGAGACGCTGAAGGAGTAGCCGTGGGAACCGGCTATCCTGCGCAGAAAGAAGAGACCCACGGTCCTGTTTAAAAACGACTCCCTCTCTGAAAAAGGCTTTGTGTGTTGAGACCACGGGAGAACGTAATTGAAGGAACCATCCTCCAGTGAATGTGACGAGGAAAGACTTCTCGCCAGCAACTGTGGTCCCTCGACTGCTAACCTTCTTGCCAACTGCATCGTCTTTCTAATTCTGCTGAGTTGGCAGTTATTCAAAAGTCACGTGATTTCAAAGTTCAAAGTTTAAACTTGCGGCGCGCGCACGGAGCAGCTGTTTTCACTTGAATTTCAAATTCCTCTCTTCAGCAATGGTGAGTGGCTAGCTGCCATGGTAAACTTCATTTTACGAGCTCTTACCGTTAGCAGCAGAGCGCAATGAAGCAACGAGCTGGCAAGAAGAGACCTCTGCAGAGTCGCAGTGCGGAGAACCTCCGACCACAACACTCCACCGCACCAGGGAGCGGTAGGAGCGAACTAAAGTCACAGATGACGGGCGGCGGCGGTGTGGGAAAGTCTCGCAGCGCGCCAGAGCTGGTCTCTGAGTCGCTGAGGGAGAGAGAGCCGCACTCACCTCCTCGGGACCCCGGCAGGAGGTACGCCACCAGGCGAGCTCCTCCGGGTCGGGCCGGGTCCGCACCTCCCCCCACATCTGTGGAGAGACCCCTGAGCGAGGAGGAGAGGGAGAGGACCGTGGAGGACATGCACAGAGAGTTCCGTGCCAGGAGAAAGGCCGTGCTGAACGGACTGCCGCCTGGAACCAAGGAAGAGGTCACCCTCTATCATGTCTAGGTGTTCATGTTCCACAAAACATCATCCATCCCCTGCCTGTGGGTAATGTTAATACACTCTGTTCCTCAGGACATAGACACCTTTCTGGAGGAATACTCTTGCAGGACAGTGTCAAAACTCAAGGATCGTTCTGGTATGCTCGCTCACACCTCAAGATTTCCGAGACTCAGAAATGACTTTATAGAGGGATTGCTTCTTATTTTCCAGTTCGTGTCCTCTTCCCCTCACCCGAGGCAGCGTCTGAACATCTCCATCAACTGAGCTCGGCTCGCTACGACGGCTGCAAGTTGAGTGCCTCCTACGGCCACCCTGACTCCCTCCTCTTTGTCGGGAACCTCTCGTCCTCTTTCTCTCGCGAGGACCTGCTGCAGCTGTTCAAACCCCACGGACGTGTCCTCCGTTGTTTCGTGGTCTGCAGTCCCTCCTCTGGCCTGGGGAAGGGATACGGGTTCGTCGAGTTCTCCACCAGAGACGAGGCTGCACAGGCAAAGCTTGCTCTTGCCACAAAGGTAACACAGCAAGTCTAACACTTACTTAGTTTTTCCTTCCATTCAGAAGCCTAATAATGAGGGATTCACGTATTTCTCAGTTTAGTTGAATTTTAGAGATTGCATAGTTGGACAAGCTATCTGAAATGCACAGGTTGTTGGGCAGCGGAGTTTGCGAGTGGATTTCGCTGATAACGGCATGCAGACCTGCGAGGACCTGCAGTCCAGAACTCTATTTGTTGACCGCCTCCCGAAAGGCTTTGTGGACGACGAAATAATCAGAGACAAGTTTTCTACATGTGGCATTGTAAACTTTTGTCAGGTGGGGAGAGTGTCTAGTAGCAGGTGTGTCCATAGTTCACTGTGTGGCTGTTTGTGGCTGTTGGCAGGTGGCTCTGACTGTCAACGGTGTGTCGCGAGGGTTTGCGTTTGTCGACATGAGCACGTGGCAGGAAGCGGAGCTGGCTCAGGAACTCTGCAACGGAGCCGTGCTGTCTGGCCAAGAGATGCGAGTGTCATTCGGCATGCCTTGTCGACCCGGTGCCTGCATCCTACAACACAAGAACTCCATCAGTATACCATTCGTGAGCCTCTCTCTCTTCTTCTTCTCTTGAGAAGCTATCTTTTCCTCTTGTCTCTTCTCCTTCTCTCTCTTTCTCTGGTTTTCTTATCTTTATCATCACTTCTTCTTCTTCTCTCTCACTCCTCTCTCTCTCTGGTTCCTTATGTTGTCACCATTGATAGATAAACGGGAGACCAGTAGGAGGCTCTGGTCTACAGCTCTGCCAAAAGGAAAACATCCCTCTGGGCAGAGGAGGGGATTTCTGTCCACACCCTACTTCCCTCCAGTTCTCTCTCCTCCCCTCCATGACCTCTGTACCCTGCAGACCACACCAATTTCATCTGGACGTTACTAAACCTGAGTTTATTCCCAACCCTTCGTTTGTGAGCCTTCAGTCATTGTCATAATATCTACGTAAATCTGTCAGTGTTGGCAAAGGGCCAGTGTATCAGTGTAGTGAGTGTCTGTGAGAGAGCAATAAGCATGAGAGCAATAAGCAAGTTGTGTTCTCTACGAAATTACCAAAGTTCTCAATGAAGACGGTCTCCTCTGTACAGATGCCATGTAGGTCGCTGCCACCACTACCACTGACCTCCTCCAATAAGATAGTTCACAGCTACAGTTCCCCTGATGTCATTTCACCTGCTCCCTGCCTCCCTCCTCCCCTCTCCCCCCGAATCACCACCTCCCTGTCATCTACCAGCCTCCCACCTCACGACACTGACAGAGACACTACTATTTCTCGAGTAAGACAAAATCAGCGTTTCAAACCCAGCACAATGGTAGACCTTTATTGAGGCAAAATGTTTCCCTGCATTCACTGTTTCTTGGGTGCATTTTGATACTTAAACCTGCTAGATATTACCAGGTGTAAGTTTTCTACACTGATTGCAGTTGTCAAGAAAGAGATGTGCGTCAACCCTGGACTCTGCAGTGGAGGCAGGCATGATGGCTGCTTACGACAGACCATTCATTGGCCAGCACCAACAAGGCATACCCTTCACCCACCCTCTCAAGAGAATGAAGACTTTCGAATAGCATCATCACTTCATATCACAGTCACCTTTCAGTTTTTTGTTTCATTGTTTTATGTTTTGTGGTCATCTGAATTGTATTTGCATGCCTTGTGTTTTTTCTGAATATTATTATTAGTTTTTATTGGCATCACTACAACAATGAGAGACAACAACAATAGTTGCACATGTTTTGTGTTTCAGTCGGCTGTTTTCCCTGCACTTCTGGCTCTTAGAACTGCCTGCAGGTCCTTCAAAAAGTGGGAGGGGAGGGGGGAAAATGAAGGCTCTTGGGATAAAAAAATTTTTTTTGGGTCTGCTTTAAATTTTTGAGCTGTGTAAAAAAAATGCGTATAGTGGAGGCTCACGGGGAGTGTGTAGCAGGTGAGGGAGTCCAGCCACTCGACTGCCACTGGGTCCATCAGCAGTTTCTTCATGTCCACCTCCTCCACTGCCTCGCCATGCCCCACTCTGTCAAACACTTCTCCCACTGCCTCCTGGTGAACCACACACACACACACACACACACACAGATCAGTGGAGCTGCGTATGAGGACTTGCACCCATTCATAATCATGTGACTCTTGCCTTAGAGATGTGTGCAGAGTCAGAGTCAGGCCCGGCTCTCTTAGGGTGTCCCTGAGTCAACACCTGTGGGAGTCACTGACAATAGACCACACTGTGTGTACACATTACTGGAGTCTTACTCTGTGGAAGTTATCCAGACTGATCCTTACAGACCTTAGTTCCTGCACGTCGTGCTGTGTGGAAAGAGATAGTTGCTTGTCAAAGTTAATTATTTCACTGAGCCCACAATGTATATGGAGACAGTTTAATTAAAGATTACGAAAAACGTGACGTGTTCTATATATCTACAGTATCAATGTTGTAGTATGCTCACAAAATTCAATTGTGAACTTTGCATAAACAGGCCCCGAGGGTTCCGTATATACCTGATTGAGACTGATATGTTCTCCAGTGACTGCTGAGAGAGCCTTGGCCAGTCCCAGCTCTGCACTGCTGTCCACACTCAAATACAGCAACTGCAACGCACAACGCTTGCTTTGCTTCACACAATACTGAATCTCAACACTGTGTGCTACATATGTATCAAACTCTGCTCCGTATGAACCTCTATTGTATGCTCTGTATGAACCCACCATTTTAGTGTTGTCCACTTTCCTGTCTTTCTCTGAAAACAACTTAAAAAAGAACGGTTTCAGTTTTTCGTTTCGATTGATGCCCCTTCTCCCTCCTTCCTCAGTCTCATTCTCATCCATCCAGGTCTGGACGGCCATAAACTGCTGTCGACTGATCATCTTCTCTCCATTTGCTGAATCCCAGAGTCTCTTGCTAGTCTCCAGTAGTTGATGGGTGAGTGGGAGTGGCCAGGGCTGGGCAGCACACACCAGGAAATGTCTCCAGTCAACGTAGTCTGCCTCCTTCCCAAACAGCTCATCACACACTTTCTGCACCTACAGTAGAGCGAGGAAGGAGAGACTGAAAACGTTATAAGAGGTGTTTTGGTAGACGACGGACCTGTGTCTTAGAGAGGCCACACCAGGTGTCGGGCACCAGGAAATCTCCACACTGAAAACAAAGAACGATACATATACACTGACAGAGCTCATAACTGTGATCTGTTAGCCCTGCAAACTGTTGATGTGTCTCACTGTGTTCTCAGTGAAGCCATGGAGAGTGTGAGCAAAGCTCTGGGCCAGCATCACTCCGTCTGGGGCCACGGAACTCAACTGACTCTCCAGTTTGCTCAACTGAGCCACCGAGAACACCCCTGTGGGTGGGGTCTCGGGCGGGACGGGTGGAGTAGGGGACGGGGCTTCCTCGTATACCAGCACTGACTGAGGGGAGAAAGATAGAGGGAAGTTGTGGTGGAGGCAATCAAGAAAAAAAACGAGAGGGTCTCACTCCGTCGATGAAGAAGGACTTGCCGGGGATCGTTATCTCCTGAGAGAGAGGGTCTTCCTCTTCCACTGCCTGTCTCAGGATGTTGGTCAGTTGTGTCACACTGCAAGCGGAGAATGAGGGGATTGGGCTCAGAGAGTTGGATGAATCTCTTACCAGTCCACCTCCTCCACATAGCTCCTGCCCAGCCACTCTCCCATGTCCTCGTACATCTTACCAGCTACTGACTGCAGAGTGTGGTAAGTTGGGCAATGAGCTAGACTATTTGACAAGTATTGATACGTACCTTGAGGTAACCCACCACCTCTACTGCCTTTGACTTGATGAGTTTCAGTCTCTGTTTTACCGAGTACTCTACACACACCACACACATATCAACAACGATAGAATACGACGATAGTCCAATGACAGACCTTGGTGCTGCAGAGCTGCCTTGTGCTCTTTCCAAGCCTTTATCAACTTCTCTTTCTTCTCCCTCTCCTCTGGACTGAGCGATGGAACTGCTGCACCATGACACAGAGTACAGTACAAATATTTCTCTACTATTAGTGGTATATGTAGACTTGCCTGGAGTTTCAACAGATTGAGGTGGGTCAGCCGCACCCTTTTTGGCCGGTGTTTGTTTCCCTTTCTTTGCTGGAGTGGCCTGCAGCACGATTGCCACCTCAAACTACAGTTCAGGTTACCCTGACTCTACACTCTACCTTCCCTCCCTTGTCCTTGCCTCCCTTGCCTCCCCTCCCGCCTGTCTTCTTGTCGTCCTCGGTCTGGCCTCCACTGACTGTTCCCTGCCCAGCTGGGGGAGCTGCCGGCTGGAGGAGAGTCCTGGTCACCTCTATACTGGAGTCCAGAGCCTTCACTTGAGGGTAAACCTGCACACAATGTATTGATAACGCACAATCGCCAATCCACAAGAAATGTCGCACGATGCTGTGAAGAACGCTAGTGTTGTTGCTGAAGCTCACCAGACTAGTGAGTGTGGTGAGGGCAGTATTGTAGGTGTGTACTACAAGTTGCTGGTCCAGCTCTAGTCCAGCTATCTCCTCCAGCAGGGGTATAGGGACCGAGTCCTCTGTCGACCCCTTGTCTTTCTTCTTCCCGCCTCCCCCTCCTCCTGTCTTATCATCAGAGGTAGTGGGAGGTGGAGGTTGGCGTGGAACCAAGGGGACCTTTCCTGACCTGGGTACAGGGGGCATTAATTAGAGTCTGGTGGCTGGTAAAGGGCCTACTTTTTGAAGGAGGATTTGGAAGAGCGTTGAGGCTCTGGAGTGAACTCTGTGCTGCTGGAGGGAGGGTTCTGGGGCTCTGTAGCCACCAACTGTAGCATAAACACACATGTATGTGTCATGTCCAAGTACTACTGTACATTGGGGACACAGTGAGTGTTAATTAAGGGGTACCCCTACCTCAACGAGGGCTAGTCTTGCAGGAGAAGGAAGCTGAGCTGGCACGCTCTCTGCCATGCTACAGTAGTAGTCCTGGAGAAGATGCACCGTCTCCTGGAACTTAACCACCTCTGCCTGCAGTCCAGATAGAAGGAGTTTCTAACATTAGACGGAACAGGATCTATCACATGAAGGTATTAGACCATGTGATTACGTCATAACTGTAGGCACACATTTTATTTCCTCAAATATTCTCAATCAGCAAAAATATTCTTTGTCGAAACAGTGCAAATGTGGTTCTCTACGGTGTGGTGGTTAACCTGCATGAGGGAGAGGTAGGTGTTGGTGATGAGACCGAGATGGTCCTCCAGCCACTTCTCGTTCCAGATCCTCTCTCTCTCTGTCTCCCATTCCTCCTTCCTCTTGTCACAGACGTCCCACAGTCTGTCACACAGGTCCTGCAGACGCAGAGTAGCTCGTAGTTACATCTTATTTCAAGACTGTACACATTTATAGAGGGGTTCTACTGTAGTTGCACGCTGTACACATTTATAGAGGGGTTCTACTGTAGTTGCACGTGTGGAGTTAACTCCTTTTAAAGAACAATTCTTGGCATGCAATTAAACTCCTGCAATAAGGACGCCTCACTAAAACTCTGTTCTATCCCATTGGTGTCGGGATTAGAAGAGTTCCACTGTGGTGGTGGTTCTTACATCAACTGTGCAGTGCAGCTCCGCCTTCATGGTGTCTTCTCGGCGCAAGTGTGTTGGAATGGAGTTAAAGTTGGCCTGCCACTGGCTCACCAGCTCTTGCTTGGTGTCTGGTCTCTTGAGATACTCGACAAACTCTCCTCTGAACCACCAGAACACACATTGACTGGAGTTAGATGATGATAGCTGACTCACTTTCTCTTGTGGAAGTATCTGCAGATGATCTCCCTCTCTTGGCGCAGGTGTCTGAAGGCAGACTTTAGTACTGATGTGTAGCACTCTCTCTATCTCACCCCACTTCCCTAGTATATATAGAGGGAAAGAAGTTGTTGAAAAAGATAAAGGAAATGGTAAGAAAAAAAGAGAAACAGTGGGGAAGAAGAGGGAAGGTAAGAAAAAATAGGGAAGGTGAGAAAAAAGAGGGAAAGTAAGAAAAAAGAGAAACGGTGGGAATAAAGAGAGAAAAAAGAGGGAAAAGTAAGAAAAAAGAGAAACGGTGGGAATAAAGAGAGAAAAAAGAGGGAAAGTAAGAAAAACGGTGGGAATAAAGAGAGAAAAAAGAGGGAAAGGGTAAGGATGAAGGAACAGGGTCTGACCAGCGAGGCACTCTGCCATCTCTGAGGCAATGGGAAGACTGCAGTACTCCCAGCCACTCTCTCCCGGAGAAACCGTCTCATCCTCCCTCACTGCCACCATCTTGTCGGCCTGCTGGATGACGTGGAGCAGGGGAGGTGCCCCTGCACTCGAGGGTCGTCTCGTTCGCTTGCTCTTTGTGGCCTTCTTCTCAAGGGGGTGGTGTTTTGAGGGTGATTGGGGCGAGACTTGCAGTTTCTTGAGCGTTGGGAGACTGGTAGTGGAGCCACTGCTGAGCTGCATGCCTGAGAGAGAGAGAGAGAGAGAGAGAGAGAGAGTATTGTGGATGTTTAGGTAGTAAACTCACTGCTTCTGGTGACTCCAAGTCTCAGCAGTGCTTCGTGCTGCTTTGACTGTGGGGAATCACGGAATCATGCAAGAACTGTATAGGTTGTTGTATATACCAACCTTGTTGATGATGTCTTTAACTTTATCGTGAACTGCAATGACCACACTCTCTGCAATCATAGTGGTGAGGATGTTCAGAGATAGAGAGAGAGTATAAGACCACTGACCGATATCCTGACAAGTGTTGACGGTAGTGAGGATCCTGAACTTTTGGAGCCGTCTCTTTAATCGAGGCCAGCCAGCCTCGAAACTGAGCAGCCTGTAAGTCATCGGAAGGTCAGTAACCACTCAACTCGCCACAGTACAGACATGGATGACATACCTGTGTTGGATCTGACTCAGTTTGGTTCCCTGCTCTGAGGCTAGAGATAGGGAAGGCATTTCATAATTGACGTTGAATTAGTCTTAAAGATTAGAGGTAAAATCAAGGCACATTTACACAGTTTTTTTAACCAAAAGAACCTGATTTTAGTTTATTCAACTGAAATAAACTAAAATCTGTTTCCACAAAACTATAGTAGAGAAGGTAGACTGTAGCTCACAGTGGCGTGCAGCTCTCTGGAGGACCGTCTCAGACGTGGATTTCAGATGAACCACCAGGTCCAGTCCCTGCTGCTGCCTGGAGCTCCTAGTCAGACACACACACCTCATGTCCCTGGTTAGTGGAGCAGTCAGTGGTGGTGTGTGTACATACCATGTTCTTCATTTGGTGCTCCGGGAGAAGAACAAAGTCGCGGGAGAATCGAGACTTTGCAGCACACTCTCCAGTCAGACTGCAGCTCAGCATCTGACACAACACCAGATCATTACACACAGCATCTTCATGCCTTCCCCATGCCTATATCTCACCTCTAGTATTTCGCCGTGCTCAAGCCTATCTCGCTTCTCTTAAACCATAATTAATGTATGTGTCATGTGTACCTTGGCCTGCTCCAGAGTAGTGGGGTAGTTGTCCAGGATCCAGGAGCTCTGTTCTGGAAGATCCCTGTACATGTAGCAGAGAAACAGAGGTTAGATGGTGCTCAACTTCCATAGCTCTGGCAGCAAGACAATACCTGAGGCTCTCTACGATAATGTCGACAGTGACCAGGTCACTAATCTGGTCTCCTCTGCTCAGAGACAAGAAGGCTCTGCAACCCAGGGACCCCATCACACTCAGCTACAGTAGCACACAGGATGCCCTCAATACACTGTCACATCAGTGTACATAGTGCTTACCTCTGAGAAGTATGGCGGTAGCTCCTGAGAGCCAGTCTGTTCTGGCGTCCCTTCTTTCTCCTCTCCCTCCTCTCTCTCTTCCTTCTCTTCCTCCACTACAGTCTGTTGATATTCCAGCTTTTCGTTTCCTCCCCCAACGACAGGACTCCCCCCATCAATGTCTCCACTATTGATGTCTTCTTCGCTGAGTCCACTGCCTTCTCCTTCCAGTTGGTCATCTCTGCCACTAATCACAGGGGTTTCCTCGTCCAGGGAGGTCATTAGTTGAGCCTCGAGGGAGGCCTTCTCGGTGAGATATTGCTGGACTGCTCTCTCTACCAACTGACTGGGACACAGCACCACAATTCCCAGCTCTGACAACAGAGAAAGTGGAAGAAAAACCAGTGTGGCAGTACGTACATACATAGTAGAAATCTCATCATGTTGAACTGGTTGTAAGAGATGCATCCCGACGATGTGTATATATACTCACGTCGACTGAGCTGATTCAGTACAGTGGTCTTCCCAGAGAATGGTTTCCCCAGAATACTGGCTCTGAGAAGAACTTGGGGAAGTGGGGAGGAGAGGGAGGGGGCTGGGGTGGGTCCACCATGTCGAGGAGACTGTAGACCACGTGGGTGAGGATGTGACAGTGGGCCTCTGGCAGATCCACTGCTGTCTTCTCTCCGCCCTCCAGCTCCCAGTCCACCTCCACGCTCTACAGCCATACAGTTAGACAAGAAGACCTCATACAGTGTGTGGAGAGGTCTGCGTACTCTGTATTGCCAGAAGTCAGTCTCGTCGAGCAGAGATTCCCGGACCAGATCAGATGGAGGGACACTACAGGTGGACCGAGAGGCCCTGCTACTGTTGCTTCTCTCTCCATCCTCTTCCTCCTCCTGTTGTTCTGGGTAGAGTGGCTGGCCTGCTATCAGCAGAGTCTTCCAGTCACGCACAACTTTAGCAGGCACCATACTGCCGAGAAATGGAGCTAATAATCATCAGAGAAGTCGTGCAAATCTCGCAGCTCCCTGACTTTTCTGTGAGGTCCCTGTACTCTGCCATCTTGGTAGAGAGGTCCAGTATCTGGTCCACGATGGAAGCGGCCAGTTGGTAGTTTTTCTGGTAGTTGAGCTCCGCCTGCTGGGACTTGTGCTGCTGGTAGAGCTTCAGATGGTGTAGCTCCAGTGCCTTCCTCTCCTTCTCTCCCTGCTTTGCCAGAGCCTGGACGAGTCAGAGAGGCTGAATCGGAAATAGATTAGAGAGTGGCTGCAATACCTCATTTCTGTTCAGTTCCTCTTGGAATTCTCTCATTCTCTGCTCTTCAAATTGCTTCTGACGAAATATACTGCAGGAAAATCAACAGAGCTCTCCCTCAATGTCGACAGAGTAAGTTTACTACAAGGGGTTAATGTGTCTGCTCACCGGTTGTTGCGAATGGTGTCTTTCTGCCTGCGGATGTGCATGAGCTGAGTGGCAATGCGGCTCTCCTGCTGACACTGCCTCATCAGTCTCTCCACCAACTGCTGCTTGCGACGCTCCTCCTACCAATTTCAACTCTCACGTGATCCCTCAATGTTCTATATACTGCAGGTCTACCTCTTGTTCCTGCAATGCCATCATCTGCTGGACTAAAACATGGCGTCTTCTCTTCTCTCTCTCCTGGGTCGCGTCAGCATTTAAATTTGTATCTACATACCAGCTGAAGATCGTGTTACCTCTTTCCCTGCCTGTATGACTAGCGTCCTTCTCTTTATCTGAGACATGTAGTCACCAGTTGATCCCTGCCCAGTCTGCAGTGAGATAGAAACTAGAGACACAGAGACACACATGTTTTGTATACCCACATTGCCTTGTGTCAAATCTGCAGTTTGCTGAAGAGGCGAAGTAGCCATTCCTGAGGCTGGTAGTGTCCTCAGTCGAGCCTCAAAGTTACTGATATTAACCCTCGTCTCCTCAGCCTCTGCATTAGCTCTCCTACTCCTCCTTCCCTCCATGGTCATCCTCTCGCTAGTAGCTGGTCCTTGGATTGTGGTGTCTTAGTGGGCGAGAGGGGCTTTAGCTTGGAGTACATGAGGTTCTGTTTCTCCCTGCCCTCTCTGGCCCTCTCCAGAGCTCTCTGACAGTTGTCCCTCTGGTCCTGACGCAGTCTGGGAGATGCGGGGATCACACTCAATCAACAGTTGGTGTTTCAGTAGAGGTGGTCTCACTTTTCAGCCTGTCGCTGTCGATCCCTTGTAACACCCTCCTCGTAGACTCGCTGGCGCTCTTTGAATTTGTCGACGAGTTCCTCAAAGTTTAGGTCCACTTGTCGTGGTGTCTGTTGCCTCAATCTCTGCAGACAGAGAGCCAAATGAACTCTGTGTGTGTGCATGTACAGTAGGTGAAGGTTGTTTTACGTACCTCCCGAAATATGGAGGTTTCCACTCTCTCCAGTTTCATTCTGCCGGGACTGCGAGTGAACTCTAGACTCTGCCCATTCAGCTCTTGCTTCTGTGAGAGACGCATTTTCTATTGTAAGTCCCACCAAAACAGCTCTCTCCACACGTCCAGTGGTGTATATACTTGCCTTCATTCTGTTGAGGGCCACAAACAGTTGGTAGAGGAGTCTCATAGCTGCTCCCGGTCTCTCATTCATCACATCTCGAGCCTGAATATATAATGCATACACTCACAGTAGTGAGATAGTGCGGAGTAGCCAAGTGGTTACCAGGTTGATGTTGAAGGGAACTTCCAGCAGCCGAAATGTCGGCTCTAACCTCATAAAGTTGTTCAGTTTTGCCTCTGAACTCCTGCAATAGTGTAGTCACATTCTGAAGTACTTTTTCTCGGGATAAAGCTAGCTACTCACCTTCCCTTAGAAAACAGAGGGAAATCCTCCTGCAACAGAGAATAGACGGTTCACTGGAGGGCATAGAGAGAGAGAGAGAGAGTTGAAAGAGCTAACCTGCAGGCCGTACTTCGTGAGCACCTCTCCGAAGAGGTAGCCGCCGGAAAACTGCTCGGCGAGGTTTGCATCGCCTGCATGTCGTGTGTGATAGCGTGTACGCTTGGAGACGGCGCACGTGATGTTTAGTGGTTCACTTACTCAACTTGTGAGCTACTCTGACGTCCTCGTTCAACCAGCGACACAGAATCTCTGTCATCTTTTCACCAGCTACCCACCCGGCCCCGGCCCCCGTGTGTTAGGGTGTCGTCATAGAAACTGTTTACGATGGAGTGTTTTGCGCATGCGTAGCCGAAAAAAGCCCGCGGGACTGTCGTTTTACATCGGCACTGCATGTTTTCATGGCGCGATACATAAAACGTTTCTTTGTCTTTGATTACAATTAACATGTAAACTACAGGCCTTCATTCCGATCCTTTGCTCTCTAACCAACCTGTAAAAACCGATGCGCTCTCTCCAGACGTTCAGTGACAAGAATTCTGGAAATGGAGAGAAGCGTAAACAGCAGCGCAGGCTCTGAACCTCACTCTACTGACGGCAGCTCGGGCTCAAACGAAGTAGGACCACTTTCCATCCTCCCAATTTGCGTCTCGTTGGTGGCAGTGGTCGCCATCGCAGTAGCTGCTTGCGTCTTCTACCGCAAGCGCCAGCGGGAACGCGCTCAGTTGCTCGCGAGGCAGCTCCGCGTCACGGAGAGAAGAATAGACGCCTTGGGGAGTCTGTGGGAGAAGAGGGAAAAGGACGCCGCCCGAAACAAACAGACCTACTACCCTCCGACCGACGTTAGAGCCAGTGCCTCCGAACCTTCCGTCGTAACGCGCCCCGTTCCCGGCGGAGCGCGGCCGCACTACGTTATACGGGCCTTTCAGCCTCGACTGGTCCCTCTTCCTTCGTCTTCCTCCTACAACAACAACAACAACAACGATAAGCTCCGGCCTCGCTCGCTCGTCAACTCCACCGTCTGCAGTTGCGATTACGGCGTCGAGATTTGTTCCATGTGTAAAGAAGAGACGGAGGAAGAGGAGGCGAAAAAGATTCGCAGGGAGTGCGCGACGAGTGACGGCAGCCTAGCGGTGGAGCTCGCTACCGTTCCGTCAGTGGGCTCGCTCTCGGCCGTAAAGACTCCGACCCAGCCCGTCATACGGAGAACCAAGTCAGACACCGCGACCACTCCTGGAAAGACGGCACTTTCTCGCAAGTCCCTGCAGGTACGGAACTCTCTACTAGTCGGCGGAGACGCTGCAGTAAGGACGCCCACAAGACAAGTACTAGAATGGATGGAAAAATCTTCAGCTCAGCCTTCCGCTCGTCTCAACACCCACCCACCTCCCCTGCCTGTGTCGCTGGAGGTCTACAGGGAGAGTGAGGAATACATGTCGACTGTCGTTACCTCCACTAACGAACAGGAGCCTCCCCCCAACACCCCAGTGTCTCGTTCCGTTGCGACTAGTGCAGAGTCTGACATTCATGGCCAAGAAAAAGCACTGAGCTACATTTCTGAGGACACACAGAGCGAAAGGTGGGTATAGCAAGTCACTTCATTTTTACAAACTTTTGTCGTACAATCTAAACTGTCATTTTTCACAAGTTATTTTTTTCTTCTCTTGTGTAACCTAAACTGCTGTGCATTATTTTAAAAATCCTGAAACACTAACTATTTAGCTAATACTGATCTGGATTAGTGGTCTGGAGGACTACTTTTTTCGCCGAGAATCGAGGAGATCGATGGAGAGAGGTGCACCTGGTAAGGCCAGCATCTTTCTCTCCTTCTCCAGCATTGAGTCTGCCTCAGCTGTTTATAATATACATAGTGTGGTCATACAGACAGGAGTGTGCCACGATGCACAGTGTGAGTGAACTGACCTATTACTCTCTCCATCTTGTTGCCATAGGCAAGGTCAGCCTGGTAGGCCACCACAAATGTCAGTGGAACCAGTGGTCCCAGAATCCACGGCTGTCTTCTCACCATTGCTCTACAACACACACACATGAAAAAGATGTAGAGAGAGAGAGAAGAGTTGATCCCCTCACCCTCTGATCAGGCCCAGAGAGGCGAGTGCATAGAAACCGCCCCACCAGTAGAGTCTCTCTCTAGCCATTGCCAGTTGCTGGGCCAGCATCTTCTCTCTCATGAGAGTCTGCATCTGAAGCTGCCTCTCCACCTGGTTAGAGAGAGAAAGGGACCCCAATTTAGGCTCTACTGTGTGTGGGTGTTGGGCTGACCTGCATTGCCTGGGCCTTTAGCATGAACTCTTGGTTCTCTCTCGTCATCTCCTTCATCATCCCCTCCATCCTCTTGCTCAGGTAGCCCCCCATTTCTGATCGTGTAAACAAACACCAAGAAAAGAGCTATCTAGGGGCGGAGTGGGGGCGTGATCTAGGTAGGCGTGGTTCGTTCATTGTCATTCGGCGAGAAAAGATGGCCTCGAATAGCGGCGACACCTCCGCAGCAGGCCGTGTAGTAGAGGGGCGGGAAGGAGATGAGGAAGAAGAGGTGAAGAAGCCTCGACCGCCCAAGGAGAGGCCGAAGATAAGGCTGACGGAGATACACTACAACGATTTCAACGTTCACGTAGTGACGTGGAACGTGGCCTCTTTCAACCCGGGTCCCGTCGAAGTAGAGAGCCTGTTTGCCCCTCAGGAAGGATTCCAGCGGGATCGGTTCTACGAGAGCTGTGATATTGTTGTGGTGGGTCTACAGGAGGCCTACCAGAACGTGCAAGAAGCGGTAACATCTGCAATCCCCGTCGTGGGGAGAGATCTTCACGTCGAGGCCTTCAGCGGCCATCTTTCCGCGAAAGGATTCGTTCGATTGGCCTACACCCGCATTCTGGGCATAGTGATAATGGTGTTTGTCAAACTCCCGCTCCTCTGCTATATTCACAGCGTCGTTCCTTGCGTGACGAGGACTGGATTTGGCGGTTGGGTGGGAAACAAGGGAGCAGTGAGCATCCGGTTCACTCTGGGTGAGGTTGGCCTCTGTTTCGTCAACTGCCACCTCACTTCACAGAGAGAAAACAACGAAAAGAGAATATCCGAGTTGCGAGATGTCTTTATGGATCAGTTTTTCCAAGGACGGCTCATTCCCGATATGAAACCACTGGATCACGATGTGGTGGTTTTATTTGGCGACATGAACTTCAGACTTCGGGAGAAGGAGTTTGAAGAAGTCAAGGAGCTGTTGGCAGAGGGGAAAATTAAGGAACTGCTTAAGTTAGACCAGCTCTTGTTGGAGCAGATACGAGGAGAAAAGAGTCCCTCCAAATTGTGTGAATTTGTCGAGATGGAGATAGACTTTATTCCGTCCTACAGATACGTCACAGAGAAGGATGAGTATACTGATGGAGGCAAATGCAGGGTGCCCGCCTGGTGCGACCGCGTCCTGTGGAGAACACACACGAGGATGCTGCCCAAAATGACGCACCTCAACCCACAGCCAGCGGTGACTGGAGTGTACTACTGTCTCCACAGACAGCCCCGCAGCAGCGACCACAGAGCAGTCAGCGCAGGGCTCAGACTCTCTCTGGACATCAGCAGCATCTCTCCACCAGTCATCTTCCACTGTCTCTGTGAATGGGTGGTTGGGGTCCGGGGAACGATCGAGTTCACCGTGATAAAAGGCACAGAGATATCACTGTGGGACTGGATTGGTCTCTTCCCCAGCCATTTCTCCAGTCTTGACAAGGACTCTGCACTATGGGTACTGACACCTGCGCAGCGAGGTAGAGCCAGCGAAGACAAGACATATTCCCGCGAGCTCTCTACAGAACTCCTGAAACTCTCGCCGGGGAAATACGTCCTCATCTACAAGTCGTATGCCTCCGACAGAGTGTTAGGAATGAGCCCCATTTTCTCCGTCCTTCCAGCTGAGACCTAAAAATCACTAATATTATCAACGGGCTTTTTATTTATGATTAGTACAGGCTCTTTATTTATGATACATGCAGGTTTGTCACAGGAGTTTTGATTCGTTATGTACATCACTAATATCGTCAAGATTCCCAACATTCTTGTGGCTGCTTCCAAAGGCCGCGTGGCGACGCAGTCCAGGAGAATCGCCAACAGTTGCCAAGTCCAGAGATTAGCTCTTTTGCCAGTTTCTGGAGCCTTACCCGATAAGGCAAAGCAAGTAGATTTGTCCAAAGTTGGATAGCTATTGAATTTAGTCGCGTCGGCGCGGAATCCAGGCGCGCTCGCAATAAAAATCCGTTGTCCCCGTTTATCACACACACTTCTGATCCTACCCGCCACCACAGTCACTCGCAATGGCCTACAGAGCTAGTAAATCCGGGATCAATGCCGACCAAGCCAAGAAGGTAAGCTCTGAAACGCCATCGTCTGCATTGATCTAGCTCCGGCCAATGCAGCAAGACGCGGCCTACGACCAGGTAGCAGAAGACCAGGCGAGGCAGTGGATCGAGGCCATCACGGAGGAACCAGTCGGAGGATCAGACTTCTTCGAAGGCCTCAAAGACGGCTCCCACCTCTGCAGGTCCGTAGCTACAACTGTGCTCTAGACGCAGAGTCGTCGGCGCATTTTGATGCGATTTTTTTTATCCCGCAGACTGCTCAACAGGCTAAAGCCAGGTCTGGTGAGCCAGAAATACGAGTCACCGGTCACCCAGCCCTTCAAGCAGGTCTGCACATAAGCATAACCTTTGAAAGATGGTGTGTGTATTCTTGTGTGTACAGTTGGAGACGATTGGCAAGTTCCTGGATGGCTGTCAACAGTACGGTCTCTCGGAGAAAGATCTGTTTGTGACTTTGGATCTCCACGAAGCTTGCAACAAAAACATGGTAATTGCAAGTCGTACACTGTGGTCCACTGTGCAATACAGCCAATACTAGCCTATAATCCCCAACTAATTAGTGTTGGCTGAAAAGTCTGACCATATTCGGTCATGCCAATACGTAATTTTAACCAGCGTTCTGCCTCATCTGTTAATTCTCCTGACAGTCAACTATATAGCTATTAGCCACAGGCATGCCTAGAATGGCCGCTATCTTTATTATCCTCTAATTGCTGCAGGTGGTTGCAACCATCTTTGCTCTTGGAAGAACGGTAAGCGTGCACCAGGGCCAGCTCTAACACGTGTTAAAAACGAACCATTATAATATTATAGGCACAGAAGAACGGGTACGAAGGTCCCAAGTTGGGTCCAAAGGAGGCTGAGGGGCAGAAGAGAGAGTGGACTGAGGAGGAGCTGAGGCAGGGAGCCAGCGTTGTCAGTCTCCAGATGGGGACCAACAAGGTGGCCTCTCAGCAAGGAATGACTCCATATGGCAAACAGCGCCAGATATACCAGTCCTGAGCACAGAGATTGTGTGTGTATCATTATGACTGCTGCAGAATCCAGTAGAACTCTACATAGACCAGTCCATTGCCGTTAGTGGATTATTGCTGCTTTTGAACACATGTACTCTCTTTGTACACAAGACATTACAATTCTACAATGAACAAAAATATGAGAGATTGATTTGGTGGGTGGCGGTTATTTTTCGGTTTTCCCCAGAAAATGAGGCGTGTAGGCAGAGAGAGAAGATAGCACAAAGAGTTCAGGGGTTCCCGATGACACTACGTAACTTCAGAACAAGTGGGGAAGGGAGGAGGAGAGAGGGAGAAGTACGCTTGAGTTTTCTAGTTTGTGAGGAGAATGTAATTACCTTTTCCGTTTGAGAATGAAACCGAGTGTCTCGTGAGGATCTACTCTCCATAATTCCATTGAGTGAACATCGCGATAGTAGAGCTGCACCACAAACACACGTCATGCCACAAGATATTGGGATTGAATGGTGGAATATATATATTACATGCACACCTGCAGTGCCTGTAGAGGATATTTTCCCTCCACGTCCCACGGAGCTGGCGTCTTGAACATCTCAGTCAGGTGGTCGATGAATCGATCGTGTTCCCTGAACTCGGCGATGTAGTCTGACGTGCCGTACTCTGGGTAGAGGAGGAGGACCGGCCACACCAGAGTTCCGTCAGGGGTGAGATGGACTCTGGCTCCTGCTGGGTGGGGGCTGGTCAGATCTACTGGTCTCTCCACCGATAGGTGTAGTGATACTCCTCTGGACTAGGGGCAGAAGAGGGGGAGATAAAGAGACGGAGTAATGTGCCAACCTTGATGATTTGGACGAGCTCTGTGTCTCTCTGAGATTTGGCTCTCGTGGCAGCTTCCTCTCTTCTCTTGTCTCTCTCCTGCTTCTTCTGCAGACACACACACCACACCACACTCTTGAGAGATGGTCCAAAATACCGACTCACTTTCTCTGTGGTTGCAGTTACTCTCAGTTGCTTCAAAACTGGGTTCTTGTCCTCCAGCTGTTAGCAGAGAAGAGAGAAAAGCAATGAGACACGATATAATCACTTTTCCTTACTGTTAAACCAATCTCACACCATTTCAGAGCCTCGCTGAACCTCTTCAACCTCACACAGCACTCTGACGCTGCAATATGAACACACATCACAGATATATACACTCTTCTCCTCACACGGGAACAACCGAACCTGACCTCTAACAATGGCCTTCATGTATTCATCATTGGATCTGTGCGCCTCACCAGCATCGGCCAGGGCAGATCTGAAGTTACCTGATGTGTCATGAAATCCACTGCAATGTGGAGCAGAACAGGGGTCAGAGGTCAACTCACCGAGACGGTACTGACTGGTAGCTCGGTTACAGAAGAGAATGGCACGCAGCTCTCTGTCTTTGCAGCCCTGGTTTATTGCTGCCGAGTAGGTCTCCACTGCTTGTCTGTACCTCTTCTTCCTGAAGTGCTCATTCCCATCCTCCTTGTGTGCTAGAGCTCTGCCTGGACACAGGGGAAGTATATAGGAGGTAAGGAGAGAGAGAGGAAAGATGGGCAAGTGTTCACTTTTGGGAGTGTCTTCCTGGTAGATGAGGTCTTGCAGGGCTGCTAGGGCAGGGGCTGACTGTGGGTCGATTTCTGTCGGTGCTCTCGTCATGAAGAGAGGAATTTTCTCCAACTCCTAACACCACAGAGAGGGGTATCGTTTAGAGTGAGGTGTTCCGAGGGTTCTTGTTTTGCTCACTTCTTCCCAGTTATCTTCCGAGAGTCCGTCCGTGTACTTGGACGGTCCCTTCTTCGCTAGCACCTCGTCCACTAGCTCGTCGAAATCCGCAACCCTCGGCGCCTCCTTTCCTTCGGCGGTACTCGGGGAAAGAGCACCAGTAGCCATCCCTCGTGTCTGTCGTTGCAAATACGCTGATTCAGCAACAAACTGGGGTCAAAGTTCAGTATTGCATGCGCATGCGTGTCGCGAAGTAAACACAGTCTAGTCGTTGTTGGCTCGCTGCCATGTTCCACTCGACGGGATTTTTCAGCGGGATTCTCTGCCCGTTCTACGAGCACGGTCTCTGCCATCGACCTTACTGCCACTACCGCCACAGCCGCAGAGAACGTTCGTTGCCAAAATTAACCCTCTCCAAATAATGCCTACTGCACACGTGTAGATAGAATTGGGGTCCCACTTGCAACTTTTCACCATCTCACTGCACTTTATTTCTTCCACTACTGCTGATCAGTCTGATTTAACCCTCTAGGTCCTCCCCCTAGCAAACGACCGCAGCTGAAGACAAAATACACCAAGTATCCTCAGCCATCAGTGCAGTCAGCCGGTGAACCAGGAACTGAGACTGCTTCTGTTTCTGTGGAGTCTGGAGAGAGGAAAGAGGAGGGGACGAGAGATGAAGGACAGGTGCCTGCAGTGTTCAATTTCTACGGAGCAAGCAATGACACCGAGACTGGAGAGACCCGAAATGAATCCGGGGTGGATATCGGGACGGACAGTATTGCCCAGGAGGAACCCGGGGCAGAAGTGGAGCTGCCCTGCTATGCTCCCGAGGTCTGTCTGGAGACCGTGGTAGGGATTAGGGACACAGAGGAATTCAGCGAGAAGGAGGTTAAAGAACTCCCTCCACCCGAAATCGAACCGGTGACTGTTGAGTTAATAGCTGTTCCCGTGGAAACGGAGTTGGCTCTGCCCACCAATGATGACATCACAGAGGCGGACATATTTGGCAGTACCGATGACGATACGCCAGACGGTGAGTATGGGTGGGTGTGGCTTCAGTGGGTGTGGTCACATCAATATAATTAGCAGGTGTGGCAGAGGAAGTGGTGGAGGAAGCAGAGGAAATGGAGGAAGAGAGGGAGGGAGGAGGAGAGGTAGAGGAGAGAGAGGCAGGGGAAGAGAAGGAGGGTGAAAGAGGGGAAGAGGAGAGAAAAGAGGGAGAAGGAGCAGAAGTGGCGATGAAGTTCCAACAAGCCATTGAGACTCACTCTTCGAGTTAGTCCCTCTCTCATTAGTCATTACCATACTCATTACTCAACAGCTACAGGCCGGAAGAGACCTTCAACTTCAGTGAGCCTACGTGTATTTCATTACATCATTCCTTATACTCCATCCCCCCGTCCCCCCACAGGCAGTAAACTACCCTTCAACGGCACAGAAGAAGAAAAGAGTTGCTCTCCCAAATGCGGAGGTGACTGTCTAATCCAGCGTACGGTGTGTTATTTCTGTGTTTGTTCTTCAGCTCTACAGACAGAACTCCTCAAGTGTCGTCAAACGTGCACCGACCATCACCTCTAATGTTAGTTCACCTCCTCATTCCAGTCATTCCTCCACCTCCCCTCCCTCCCCTCCCCTCTTCCCCTCCCCTCGTTCCCTCTGTTAGTTTGCCGCCAGTCTTGACAAGGACTCCCTCTACATGGGACGCAAGAGGATGGCACTCAAATTAAAGGCTGTCACAATTGACCAAAAGGTTGGTACATACATACAGTAAGACCCCCAGGAAAGGCCCCTTTAACTAATACATTTGTGCATGCTGAATAATTATTAGACACTTGAATGTTACTGAGGTGTCTCTTTTTGACTATATTTATATCCCACACTCCCCAAACCTAGTCTCCTTTTTCTCCCTCCTCTCTTTCCCCCCCCAGTCGCCGACTGCCACCAGACCCACTATACCTCTCAAAGCCAACTCCAAAGTCCCGACGAAACTCCGACAGAAATACCTCGACTCCTACATTGACGAGATCCTGAAGGTGAACCTTGACCCCCGGCAGGCCTACGAGAAGGCGGAAAAGGAGGAGGCGGAGTTGTTTGAGAGATGTTCGAGTCGAATGACTTACTGCAGCAGAGCCACTCAGACCCTCCGGAGACTCAGGTATATACAACACTGTGTAAACTACGTATGAGTAGAAAGACAAAGGCACAACAAACAAGTCAACTACACACACTGAGTGGAACTCCTCTCTTTAAGGTCACCTCTCAAATGAGGATACCTCTCTAATAAGACACCATAAAATTTTGATCTTTACTCTCTCGCCAGGAATGAAGCTAAAGAGTTTCTACAGAAGCATAGAGAAACATCTGACTCCAGAGTCCAGACCCACAACGAGAGTGGGCGGGGCTCCAATCAGACCACGCCCACCAACAGACACCCAAAGAAGAAGCCCAAAAGCGAACCAGAGAAACTGAATTGGAACACGAGAGAACGAAACCGTCAGATCTGGGAAGTCCGCCTCTCCTCTCCCCCACCTCCCTCACTCCTCGACTGGTGGAGAGATGCAAGAGCGTTGAGGTGAGAGTAAAGAAGTGTGTGTCAGGTGTCTCCGAAGATGAGAGAGCTGGCCACTACACCACTGGCCGTGCAGACAACACTGACAGCTCCATGACCCCCAGAGCTTTCTATTCAACCAGCAGTAAGACTTCGACTGGTTTGACTGGTTCAACTGGTTTGACTAGTTCAACTGGTTCTAGCAGAGGAACCACTGAGAAGAGTAAGAAAATGAGGGAGAGGTGAGGAAAGGGAAGGTTGTGAAGAAAAGTGGCGAGATATCGTCTCCCCCTGAAATACGTTGTCATCTCTAGCTCTTCCAGCGAGCCACTGTCGCCACTGAGCGAGAAAGTGAGGAAGAAGATGAAGAGAAGACCAGGGAAACCTGTTGCGAAGAAAGATGACATAATACTGCCTTCCTCAAAACCAGTTTTCGTTCCTGGTCCTTCAAGAGAGCCGCTATCACCTCAGACAATGGAGGAAGTCGTAGCTGGAGAAGATATTGAAGGAAGAGTGGGGAGAGGAGGGAACGAGGGAGATTTAGACACAGAGCTGCTGAAGATAGATTTGTTTGGGGAATCAGACTCAGACTGTGTGGCTCTGTCCAGCCCCTGTTCCAGCGGGGAGGAGGAGATCATGAACGTATCGTTCGAGGATGCTCTGAGAGGGACGGAGCTTGGCCGGGGGAGGAGAGGGAAGGGGTTGGAAGGAGCGAAGAAGATTAAAGTTGCTCAGAGCGGGAAGAGGAAAGTTGCTCCGGAGAAGAGGGAGAGGGTGGGGAGCGGAGAGATGAAGGAGAAAGGCAGACAGAGACTGGGGAGTGGTGAGGAGAAGAGAGAAGTAAAGAGGGTGAAAGTTCCTCTAACGAGACGCAGGGAACAGCGAAGATCATCGTCAAATTCGGTGGACGAACCACCAGCAAATTTCAAGCCAGACTCTAACTTGCTGGTCAACCTATCAGACGTGGCAGCGGCAAAGGTCAACTCTCTGACCTCATCCCTCCTCAGTCTCCAGCAACTCAGCACCGGATCTGCCGCCAGAGGTGGAGCGAGGTCCTCTTCTTCTTCCTCTCTCCTCAAACCTTCCTGTACCGTCTTCAAGAAGGCGGCCGTCACACTCACAGGTAGAGTACGGCAAAACCTGTCACATGATGCTCATGTGATCCTCACGTGGTTCATTCCCTCACAGCCCCCGTATTTTACGCGCTAATGGAGGCCTACTTGATGACTCAAGAGCAGCTGGTCGAGAATGGGTATCCCATGGCAACCGAGAAAGTGGGCGTGGCAGCAATCAACTGGGGAGGGGATCCCCCTCCTATCATACAGCCGGTGGGCTCTAACGGTTCGTACGAGATTTCAGGACTTGACTGACTTGATATCTGATTCCCTCTCTCTCTCCTCCAGCGATGCGGCACAGGTGCTGTCGATGTGGAAAGAATTTCATTATCTACGACGACGGGAAATACCAGACGGTTGAGGAATGTATTCATCACTATGGCCGACTCTTCAAGGTCAAAGGTCAGCTGCAATAGTGACATACTGTAACTGCATTGAGGGACCCCTCTCAATATAGGTAACTGGCTCAACACATTTGTTTATCAAACCTCTGAATAAAGGATGTTTTCAAATTCGGAGGTTCTACCTGTTGAATACACCTCTCTCTCTCTCTCTCTCTCTCTCTCTCTCTCTCTCTCTCTCTCTCCAGAGTACGGGGAGGGGGTAGTGTCTCAGTACAGCTGCTGTAATGAGAGAAGAGACTCTGGTGGCTGCCAGGTCGCAAAGGTCAGTCATTACACTTCATCATCTTGCTGAACTATTGTTAATGATACATCTTATGTGTTGTCTTGTGTGTTGGTAATTGAAGCAGGTTGTCATCTTTCCTCTCGCTCTCAGTTTCACGTCACGGCCGGAGCCAAACCGAGGGAGATATCGGGCTACGTGATCACCTCCTCTTCCTCCACCACCAACGAGACAGTGTATGCAGTGGACTGCGAGATGTGCTACACGACGGCCGGACTAGAGTTGACTCGAGTCTCGGTGGTGACATGGAGCTACAGCCAGTGTATGAGGCAATTGTCTTACCTCCGAGACCCATTGTGGACTATAACACCAGGTATTGTAAACCTGTAGCAGAGACAGAGTGAAGGGGAAACATGGCAGTAGTCTGGCATGTGGAAGGTAGGGTCTGGGAACTTTTGCACGGTTTTTATTTAGCACCGGGATATGTGTCCCACCAATGAGATTTCAGGATTTTGTCATGTGACAGGCGTAATTAATGCATATTGTCCCTGATTGGTAGATTTTAAGAGATAAAGCCCTTTACTAAGGGACGTGTGTGTGTCTGTCTGTCGCAGGTTTAGCGGTCTGACGGCTGAGGACTTTGCCCCAGGGCAGACTGTCACTCTGGAGGAGGTGCAGAGGAAGATGCTGGGTCTGGTGGGAGACGATACCATTCTGTTGGGACATGGTCTGGAGAGTGACCTCAGATCTCTCAAGGTATACATATACTTACAGTGGGACCTCTCAAAATGACCATTTGGATACAAAACACCTCTCTGTGAAGGACACTGTAGTTTGCCCATGCTACTACTAAAGGTCACAGCAACTTCTTCCACTTCTTCGTTTATCCCAGATAATCCACGTGAGAGTGGTTGACACGGCAATAGTGTTCCCTCATCGCAGGGGCCCCCCTCTCAAGAGGGCTCTGAGGAACCTAATGAAGGATCATCTCAACAAGATCATACAGGACGACGTCGGTAATGCCTGACTGAGGGTGCCTGTCGCGATGACCAGCATGAGGCACATTATTATTCCCCCATGTTCTTACTAGCTAAAGTATGAGAAAATTAGGCCACCCTTTCTTCTCTACTCCAGATATGTTTCCACAGATTCAGGTTGTGAATATAAGTAATACAATATGTCCCTCACAGACGGCGGTCATGACAGTCTGGGAGGATGCCAGAGCATGTATGGAGCTGATGCTGTGGAAGACAAGAGGAGACCTTCAGAAGACCACCAGGAGAGGTGCCTCCTGACTCCACCCATTACTCCTC